TTTAAAGAAATGTGTCAATGGTAACAGAGCCACAGATCTTTACACACGTCTGGCTAAATATCTCTCTGTTGTTCTATTATGAGAAATATCCCGCTCGAGCCGTTGAAATTCAGAACTAATGTAGTAAAGATCGATCAAAGGATGGTTTTTTTTTACATAAAAACAATGCTACTCTACCAGAAAGGAGTTTTAAAAATGTTACCGCACACTACATATTTCTGTGGAGGAAGGGGGGTGGGGGTACAATGCTGTTGACGTACAATGAACTTGAAAGGGAACAACGATTTTTCTTTTGTTGGTCGTGGGTGTTAAAAAAAATCACGAACAAAAAAAGTACGCCGTAAGCCAACGGAATCAGGAAGGTCTTGTACAACTAACGCTTCGCCTGCTAACCAAAACTGTAAATGGCAACAGATCCTAACTTCTTAAATCCAATGTATATCAAGTATTTCTTTGAAGATAAACGTTCCGAGCATGTTGTTTTAAAACGAACTTAGATAAAGTTCTGAAATATTACAGGATTAAAAGTACTCCCCCCCCCCATTGTAAGTGTAAGTTACATTATTGTTTATTACACTAAGATGTCAACATCAATATCATTGTTTACTCTTTGTTTTACCTAGCATACAATGTGTTGAAGTATTCGAGACGTGGGTTTGTCCACTCATTATACTGGAGATACGGGTGTGTCCGCTTAGAGTTAATTAGCTTTATGGGTCAGTAAGCTCATGTATGGTATGATCTTGAGTCAGTGAGCTAATTTGATTAGGAAGATGGGTCACCTAACATAAGTGTGTCCGTCAGATTTTTAAATGTGCGCTGGCGGGTTAATATATTTACTAATTACTCGTGAATGTTTTAGCTTAACTTGGGGCTGAAATTGTATATAAGCTTTTACGACTTTTGGCGAAACGTGACAGTTCGTGAATTCTGATGCATACGCACAAATGTAAATCTCATTAACTGTTTTGGTTGTCACATGGATGTGTCACTGAATTCAATGTGTTTTGATTGTCTTTTTTTTTCTCACAAGCGTGATTTTTATTAGCCTCTCACTTGGATGTGGGATGGTTAAGGATGTAGTTAGCAACATAATATGTTGGCCAGTTGATAATCAGTTCGCGAATTGTTGTTTCATTCCATGGGAGTTCAGGAGAGTGCGTTACAAATCAGTACTAGAAGCGTAATTAATTCTCACGCCTTTTATCCGACTTTTTACCTATCACCAGTCATCAATAACAGCCAAGCCCCCTATCCCCACTCCCCCCCACCCCCCACACACACTTCTAAAATGACAAAACAAAGCCCCATATCCTACAGCAACAAAAAATAGCATGGTTTTAAAATAGTTTATTGTCATTAAAATTATATGCATGCTACCTCCCATACATCAAGACTCCGTTGCTAGTTGCTACCCCCCCCCCCCCCCCCCCCCCCCAGAAAAGGCACATAGCCACAATAGCATTTATTTGTATTACTAGTGTGTGAACAAGTGGGACGAAGTAACTTCGATACGATCCTAGAAGTATCGAAACTGTATTCACTCAACTGGATATGTAGTGTCCTGTTGCATGACCGACATGCTGGCCGCCATTTTGTTTTGCATGACGACGATAGAGCAAAACCGGAAGCCGTGTTAGAATTTTGTTTTTATCTCCCTTTCTCTTTCTCGTGTTTCTCTTCTCCTGAGTGCGCTAATGGCATTCTGTAGTTTGGTTGATTTAAATTAAAGTTAAACTAATTAAACCGAATGCAGTCACGTGATCACGCCAGAATGTGAAGACACTGCCTTAAAGCAAAGAATGATTGCAGGACGCACGGCATTGTTGCTAATGAAAAAATGATGGTAGGACGTACGACATTGCTGCTAATGAAAGAATGATTGTAGGACTCACGATATTGCTGCTAATAAAAGAATGATTCTAGGACGCACGACATTGCTACTAATGAAAGAATGATTGTAGGACTTACGACAATGCTGCTATTGATAGAATGATTGTAGGACGCACAATATTTTGGCTAATGAAAGAATGATTGTAGGACGCACTATACTGTTGCTAATAAAAGAATGATTGTAGGACGTACGATATAGCTGCTAATGTGACGAAATAACGCAAACGCGAACTGAGGCGTAATTACTTGATACCGTCGCCTAACAGTATCATTATGCGCTGTCTCCCGCCTATTTATATATGTAGTTATTAAAGTTAGTGTCAAAGCGCCCCCATCCCCCAGTTGGCTAGTTTGATGGCGCATTTTACCAGTCAGTTTCCCGTATAGATTTTATTTTGGTACAACAAAATGTAGAAAACCGTGAAGTCATTGTGTAAAGTCATGTAGCCGTTTGCTTTCTTAATTAACTTTTGTGTATAATTCACTAATCCCAATTTAAAATGAGCTTTTTAGCTTTTTTTTCGTACCCGTTTTGGCGCCCTCTGAGACCCACCCGCCCTCCTTCAGCTACGCCACTGACGAGATGAAGTGACACAACGAGTGATCCATACCGTCTATAATTGCTTTTATCATTGAGCCACTTCCCTGTTTCAGTAAACATTGATCTTTTGCTGTGAGAGTTAGAAACTTCTACATTGACAAAAATATCGCATGAGAGTATATTGGGCAGATATCGCTGTTAGGGTTCGGGATTTTATGGTTTAATCTGTTGAATTACATGGGGTCGTTGTTGATCCTTTTTGTTTTTGTTTATGTGTGCGTATGTTTTTTTGAAAAATGTGCTTATACTTCATTTATTTTCTATAATAAGAAAATGTTTCATCTATTTTATATTGCTTTCAATGTAACAATTACTACACGCCAGTGACTACTGACTAGTACTGTGTGTAAGCATTGCGAACACACGCCTAAATAGAAAAATGTGTGGTGGTGTATTGTGTGTGTGGGGGGGGGGGGGTACAGAAAAATTAGGCTAAGCTACGCGTAGTAGAAAAACGGTTAAACTTGATTAGAATGTATTTTGTAATTGTTATGAACAACAATAATGTTAAGTTACATTATAATTTAATTATGTAGTTACATGGCTGAAGTTGGAATTAGTAAAAAAAATGTTTAACAAATCATCATAGTAGTAGTTACCTAACTATACAGTATGGGTTTAACATATAGTGTAATTATTTTCGAACTACCCCATAACTAAGAATATTTCAAACACATCAACTTTTTTCAATAGTTTCTAGACTAGGAAGACTAGAAAGGATAAAAAAAAGTCGATGCACTAGGAAGACAAAGATCAATATTACATTTTGAATGCAAAAAAAAAAAAAAAAAAAAAAAAAAAAAAAAAAAAAATACGGCTATAAAAAGTCAGCACTGATAAGCTTTAATTTCAAATTCAGAAAAGATTTAAAAAAAAAGGTAGACAAAAAAAAAGCAAAATGGTAATAGGCCACAAGTTTATCTGATATCTTCAAATTCTAGGAATGTGGGTGGTTTTTTCAGTTCGTCAAATTTTAGGAATGTGTGTTTTTTTTCCAGTTCAATAGTCAAATTCTAGGAACGTGGGTGGTTTTTACAGTTCAATAGTTATATTTGAGGAATGTGGGTGGTTTTCACGGTTAAAAAGCCACATTTGAGGAATGTGGGTGGTGGGTGGTTTTCCATGGCCAATACTGGCTGCATTGTTCGTAGTTCAAATCACAATCGAAAGAAAAAGTTTACTTTCTTAACAGTTTGAAGATTGTTACTCGAATCGCGCTAACCTGCAATTCTCCAGTTCAATCCCCCGGGCAGATGAGGTCCGTTTGCAGGGGACAGCAATCCATCTTGAAGAGACAACTCTGAAATCAAACACTAGTGGAGCCCCTTAGGTGATAGGGTTACCTTCTCTTGGTTACTTACGGCAGCTTCTGCGATCGACGTGAGTACCAAATGTATCGATTACCTTTTCTTTTGGACTACACCGACAAAGGTCGAGGGACCACCACCCATGGGTAACCTATGATCTCTTCATCTTATACCCAGGTACTTGTCTTAAAGGTTTCACTTCTAAAGACGTATGTATTGTTTCTCGGGGCTGATAGAGCCATGAGCTTTTTTTTTTAAATTGTTACCTGAATACTCATCGGTCAAAGTTTTTAACAGAGGTTTTGTTATTATCTATATATATAATTCTCTTCTTGGAGACCCTAGAAAAACACCAAGCTGTAAGCGCGCTCCCTACCACCCCACCCCTACATGGTCTGGTGAGCTGTAGTTCATGTTAAATGTTTACAATCGTAGAGCCGGGTTTAGTGACGGCTATTAGGGGCATATAATTTAGTTTGAAACGATTTTAAACTTAGCGGAGGTAACTAAGAAGAGGCTGCTTTCATAGGGGGGGGGGGGGGAGGTGGGGGTAAGCGTTGGGGAAAGGAGGGGGGGTGGTTATCATCCTTAACGAGCTACTGATAGTGTTTTAAAGCAACTATATTCAGTGGCAGCACTGGCACTGTCGAATTCACAAATTATGAATTACTGAAAAAGAGAAAATAAAACAACTAAACAGCGGCATATGTTACGCCGCGGGTCGGCTCGTTTTTCTTAATACGCGAAGGCTGAAGATTATAAAAAAATTGTGACCAAATATTTTACCTAACAAATCTTTTCTACAAAGGCGGTAGAAGATTTCAAGGTAAATTAACCCTTGTAGGATTATATTATAAGAATTAATTGCTAAAGTTTTAAAGGGTTCTGTTTTCAAATATATTTCAAGTCTAAGACGTGATTTTAATCACAATTCTCCTTGTTTACCAACACTTGAAGCCACAACCAAAAGAACCACAAGCTAAACAAACACCTGCACCTTTCCCCCTTACACCTCCGCCAGCACCGGTAACCGAGAATCTAAACAAGCCCTACCGCCAATGTAAAGGGAACCGCTAAGGGGCCACAACTGCGTTAATGCTCTCTCCTCGCCCGGGCAGCCCCCGCCGTTCACGCTCGTTCTCCACGGGCGGACGGGCGAGGGATGGACCGCGGCGTCTGCGTGTGTTCGGATCTGTCACGTGGTGCGGCAGCCTGGGTAAAAATGTCGCGCGGTGCTAACAAGACCTTACAAGACACCGTCTTAAAAGTGAATCAAGCGATCTGCGTGAGGCGACACTGACACTTCAGCCACTGGATATACAAATCTGTTTTTATACTGCTAGCCAAGAGTGTGGTTACCGACTCCACGGTGGGATATTTCTTCATTAGTTGTTTAGGTGAGGAATTCGTGTCCAGTCTAGATAAAGGGTCCTAGGTCTAGATCTGTATCACGACGTTAATTGAAGGAACTAATTAATTGGTGGATGTAAATATTACTGTGATTAAAACCGTGTAGATTTCGCCGTGTGTATGAATAAAATTAACATCGTAGGCCTACATGATATAAACATACATTACAATTTATAATGTACCTACTACTGTTAATATATGTTGCCTTACTGACAGGATACCAGGCATTGTTATAGAAAAGTATATATTGTAAATTGTATACATAATACCTATATATTATAAATAGGCTTATATATATATATAGGTATATATGTGTTTATATACAGATATATATATATATATATATATATATATATATATATATATATATATATATATATATATATATATATATATATATATATATATATATATATATATATATATATATGAATCTATAATAACGGCTATATGTTGAATTAATAGCATTATATGTAAATAATTTATATCGTGATCTGCTAATGGATATATTGTCTGATATCTTACCCAACGCATTAACATTTTAACACAGATCGACAGAAAACTAAAACCTTCCCTATGGAGTCATCCATAAATGACGTCACGCTTTCTTTGACGATTTTTACCACTACCTCCCCCCCTCCCCTCAGTCACACTTCGTCACAAAAAGCCGGACCCCAGACGACAGCCTACAACCACTTACCCCACCCCCCTCAAAATTGCAGTTGATTATTTACAATTTCTTCTCTGAACTAAACATAGAGTATTTTAATCAATTCCTATTACAATTTATTAAAAGTTTTCTAAAATGCGAAATAACGGCTAAAATTCGTTTTCTAACATTGCTTTTTACTTTCTCGTACATACGAAGTATAGAGAAAGTCTTGTAATCGTTAAAAAAAATCGAGATTTTTTCAAATCTCGACGTTTTACACCTCCCTGAGTCGGAAAAAAATATTTTTGCAATCTTGTCCGTCTGTCTGTGTGTTTGTGTGTGTGTATGTGCAGTTTTCTTCCAGACTTTTTTCTCCGGGGGGGGGGGGGGGGTGGGGGCACTTGAAATTTTCGGGGGGGGGGGGGGGGGCGGTAGACTGAGATGCCTGGAAGAAACTCTGTGTATGTGTGTGTGTGTCTGTAAACACGATGACTTGAGTACCGTTACAGCTAGGTTGATGAAATTTCATATATAAGTATTTTATCAAAATCGTAGATCCGTATCAACTTTTGAGCGATTTCCGATAATCAGAAATGATACTTTTTCTACTATATAACTTGAGTACTATTTCAGATAGAAAAATGAAATTTCACATGTTAGTAAAAGATCTAATCCTCTACCTTCTATCAAATTTTGAGTAATTTCCGTTGACCGAAAGTACTAATTTACGCTATTTCCGATTTCTCAAAAACTAATGTAAATTTATAAAGTACTAGTAATATTCCGCACTATTATGCACTTTTTTTTTGCGTTCACTGGTGTGCAATTATTCTTTCTACGAGATTTTATTCTATTTTAAAAAGTTTAAGTATTTAAACTGGATTAAAAATCATGTCTATATCCCGAGTTCCCATCCCTTATTTTTTGTACATAAGAATATTCGATAAAGTTTAGGGAGATCACTCCCAGTTTATTTTTTTATTGTCAAAATAACTGCCCACTATTCATGTCCATAATGATCTTGTTAATTTTCCCTAGACGCGTCTCTAGTGTTTGTGATAAAAGTATGCAAATATCCCTCTGTTTATGTGTGCTAATATTTTACTTTATTGTACCAACCTATCGTCTAAAGGACTAAGCACAAACATTTCTTACGAGCCGATATGTTGTGCTGGGACCTGACCATAAAACTGGACACTCCCACACCTCGTTGTTTGGCTTGAAACGTTGATGGGAATTAATTACACGCGCAAGGACGGGATCAATTAAAGCAAAACATTGTTGCTGGAGCTAGACGGAGGGTGTTTAGCATTTCACACCCTCTAGATAAGGGTGTGGTAAGATTGGGGGGGGGGGTAAGGATGTATCGAGTCTTGAGCTTTAAATCGTCTGCTAAGCAGACTAGCAATTTTAAAAAGTCTGACCCGATTCCCCGACCTCCATTCCATCCTCAGTCCCCCAATCCCATCATCGTACTCCCATTCTATCCCCACCCCCCACTCCAATCCCGACTTTCCTTTACTCTTCTCACCCCATCCCTACTCTCAACCAATTACCCCATTGTATCTCATCCTCACTCCCCACCTTACCTCACCACTCCCAACCCGTCACTCCACATCTTATCTCCCCTCCACTCCTAACCCAACCCTCACTCCTATCCAATCCACCCCCTACTCCGTACTCCACCAACCCCATTACTCCTCATCCCATCCCCATCCCCACCCTCCACTCCCAACCCAACCTCACCCTAGTCCCATCTCACTCCCCGACCCCTCATCCCAAATCTCCAATCCTAACCTAACACTCCTCCCCCAACCCCACCCCATTACTCTAATCCCATCCCTCCCTCCAAGCCAACCCCCACTTCCTTCACCCTCCCCCCCCCCCCGCCCCTCCCCGACCCCCCCCCCCCGACCCTCCTCGCTGCACCTCGTCTACCCCCGCCCATAAATTAGCCCAACTGACCCAGGCTTTACTTCATTATCACGACGGCGGGCCCGGCCACCGCGCGCCATATAAACTTGTTGGACACAGGGGCCGGCCATAAAAACCTGGGGGTTCCCGGGCCAACATACATCACAATTTGCTGGGGCCACGGGGGTCACTCTCCAGACACAAATATTTAGCCCGAGTACACTCGTAGACGTCTGTAAACAAGCACGGAATCATCGCTGCTCTAAACTGTCTGTAGGCGATATACATATCTAAGCTATATTCATATATAAGTATGCATACACACACACACAAATCACTCATATATATATATATATATATATATATATATATATATATATATATATATATATATATATATATATATATATATATATATATATATATATATATATATATATATATGGGCCCTAAATATAATTTTATATTTTTTTTTGTATTGAAAGCTTTATGTTGGGTGTCCACCTATTGTAACTTTTTAAATAAATATTTTTTCCCTGTGATATCTTTTTCGGGAATTTTTTTCAGCTATTTTTATTTTCATCGAGTATTATCTTGATATCTTCTAGATGTCTTTTTCCACATATCTTCTTTAGATATTTCAATCGAGTGTTCATCTGGTTTTTTTTTTTTGAGTATCTTCCTCATATATCTAAAGTGTATCCCACATATCTGTTCTTAATTGTAATATTGGCGGAGATTTTCTCCAACATAATTAAGTACTACGTGTCAGCTTGTTATGCATCATATGTCCCGTTGAATCCAGTCTGCTTTTCTTTTTGCGTTTTCTTCCATAGACTTTGTCAATCCAAGAACAAACTACAAGGCACTAGTTGTTTAAATGTGGAGTTTTGTCTTTTAGATGTGTTGCTGTCCCCAGCTAACGAGATTCATCAGCTCCAACTTGGGACTTTTAGTTAGCATTTTCTTCTGATAAATTCATGTGGTATTTTTCTCACGTGTATCCGTAGTGTATTCTGCTCGTAGATTATTATTTCAAGTTCCAGATATTTTCCAGCGAGACTTAGACTAACACTTCCGTCAACAATTATCGTTTGCCCACAGAACGGAACCAACCTCCCAGCTTTACTGCGTCACTTTCCGTCTAATGATGTTTTTATTCTACGACCTCTCCACCACCAAATTCCACCCCCCCCCCCCTCACTCCGTCAGAAAATGTTATGATAGTGCAACGCACATAAAAGCTCATCCAGTATCTCAGCGATGTATTATGCCTCACCCCCACCCCCCCCCCCCCCTCTCATCCCACTATCCCCATTCACTCCTTCCCCCACGCCTCTCCATCCAATGATGAATTACACTTAAAATCATCCAACTCTAAAGAGATTAAAAAAATATTTTTCCAAAAAAAAAAAAAAAAAAAAAATGGCTCGCTTTGTCCTTTCCTTGACAAATCAAAATCGATTGAGCGAAATATCATCTATTTTTATTTCCTATTTCAATGTGATTTTAAGATCATTGAGTGATCGTTGAGTGATCGTTGAATGATCTTAATGTGATTTGAAACCACAAGACTGTTAACAGAAGATAGCCATACACATTGTGGCCAATTCTGGTAACATTATGAGGTGGAGAATTAATGTGGGGCAATTTTTGTCGAATTCTGGTAATATTATGGGGCATCTTGTGGAGAATTATTGTCATATTATGTGGCATCTTGTGGAGAATTATTGTCATATTATGGGGCGTCTTGTGGAGAATTATTGTCACATTATGAGGCGTCTTATGTCGAATTCTGGTAACGTTGTGGGGCAACTTTTGAAGAATTTTAGTTACACTGTCAAAGAAAAGGTCGTAGATTCTTGTGACATTTTTTGTAACACAGTGTTTTATCGAAAAATCCCAGCTAACTTTGATTTACTAAGTGGGTGTAGATGAGAGTAATGTCCCATTAGAAAGATTATGATTGTATTATTTTCAACCTTAATTCGGTACGTTTAATATACTGATAACAATACATAACTCTTATATAATACTAGCCATTATTTTCATTGTTTGTTTTTTATAGGGGGTGAGGGATTAAGATCAAAATACTTTAATTAGTGGAAATTTGAAAGTTTGAGCACTTTCTAAAATACCCCAAAGTCTTTTCAAATACATAACTAATAGTAAAATAAGGTCTCCTGGTCGCGATACTGCATCACGATCCCGGTGAATTTCTGAACACATTTTGTTTACTTTATTCTTCAAAATACTTTTCACACCAATCGCAAAATTGTAAAAAATGTTAACCCCACTCACCCTTACAAGAAATATCTAATACGAGCTGACTCGCGGCGTATCTTTTTTTCTACTTTTTCCACATAGTTAGTGAATTCGAAACTACCTTCCCTTCCATTTCCCCCCCCCCCCCCCCCCGCC